GGCACTGTCCTGAGAGGTCTACTGCTCGGAATGAGATGAGTTTTGCCCTGAACGAGAACAATCTGAAACAGCTTTGACTAAAAAAAGACAAACGTAAATAAAATAAAAGATTTCTTCTGCTTTTTGTCAGCGCAGCAAAGGGAGAGAGAGATATAGGTGGAAATGAGAAGGAAGAAAACACGAAAGTAAATCATTATGAACAACTGATTGTTTATAATTATTTGAAGTTTGGGGGTGAATCTGATGAGTAATGAAGGTCTATATTCTTATTTAAAATCTGTTTCTGAACTGAACCTGAATTGACAGTGAATCAATCAAGGATTTGGATTAATTCCATATTTCAGGAAGCTGGGCGTGTCCAACGGTGCTTAACAAGAATGCCTAAGGGCACAGTGCTGACCAGTGGAGGCCAAGCCCCTTTCCAGATGTTATAATACATCCAAAACACACAACTGACATCTATACACTCATTTCTTATATATATATACAAGATGTTTTCTTACTTTAGGGTCTGATCTGTATTTCTTCACAGACAAACGGCAGTGGGAGCTGTCTGAGACATTTAAGGATATTTATTAACTTTTTTGGACACTGGTCCCTATGGATCAATGGCTCCTATGTTTTTCTTGTGTTCAAACAGTTTGATTCTCTGATCTGTTTTTGAAGAAACAACAACTTCCTCTCAGATGACTGTGATTTAGGACAATACAAAAACAAATGTACACAATATTTAAACAAGCACCTGGAGGAAACCCACCAGACATGGGGAGATGTAAACACCACATAGTGAGACCCGGGTCGACACAAGATTGAACTTGTGACCTTCTTGCTGTGAGGACACGGTGGCGCCTTTGTTGTTGTTTGGTGTTTGGATATCACAGGTTACGCAAGCTACCAAAAATAGCTTTTATTTCGCCCACTTGTTCAACAAATATAACGTTAATTCTTAAACATGCATGCAAGTTTTCCAAATGTCCTTTCTAATAAAAAGGTCTCTAGACACATGTCAAGTATTTTTTTGGAACGCAGAAAACATTGTACATCCGGCTACATGACATGCGTAACAGCAGCACACTGTACTTTACACATGAGCAACGTTTTGGCCGTGGGCCTTAGTCAGGAAAAGGGTTTTATGCATTATGAGAAGCCATCTTAACAGGAGTGGGGTGCATCAAAAGAGTCATTCAAAAAGTATATATTAGGCTCATTTCACATCACAAATCAGAGAATAGAAAATGTTCATAGACATAATAAATGTTTACATAGTAGCAGTAGTATTTGTGTCAAAACTTATATTTTCATACAGCAATTTGAAAACTACAGTTTGAAAGCGAACACAAACACACACACACACACACACACACACATACAAGCAAACACACCCTCACCATTCACCATGCTGAAGGTCTACCACTCTTTCTTCTAATTACTTCTGTTTTTTAAGTTTTGAACAAAAGTATATTTGAACGTATTTCAAATCCTCTGATAATCGATAAGAATAATACAAGCAAGAAATAAATGAAAGTGCAATAATACGGTAATTTGTCCCATACTCAGCTGTCTTATTGAAGTCCATATAAGTTAACCAGTGCTCGCCTGTTGTTCATCAGCAGCACCTCATGAAGTGTGCGCAGAGGTGATGGTGATTGCATACTTCAGCCTTGGACTCAAAGATAAATATTTGGAGAAGGAAATCCATCAGGCTTCTGACAGTGATGAGAGGGAACCGCTAATGTTTGCTCTAAAGATGGGATCAAGTGAACCATCTGATCCATTTGTCTTTGAGCAAATTTACTCAGTGATTAGGGAGATGTCTTGTGTTTTCCTTGCACAGAAATGAGGTGGTAACACAAGACTTTGCTGTTTATGAAATAAAAGCTGGGGTTTTTAACTTTCCACTTATCCCAGGCGTGGAAAAGTATAAGTCCACAACATGAAAGTATAAGACCTTGCAGTTTTCATCTAATTAGAACTCATGGAGAAGAATTTCAAAACAAAATATGTACAACTTAAAACAAAAGTATTACCTTTGGAAATTATCCATCCATTTTCTTCCCCTTAATCTATTTCTGGGTCGGGGGGATGGAAGTCAGAGCTACAGCCAGAAATTATGGAATGGAAATGATCCAATCTCACCCAATTGGTCAAAATCTTGTGAAAAAGAAAGTAATGCAAGACGATTAAAATTGACTCTTGTTGAAAATGACTTTGCATTGTTAATAAATGCTGTAGAGTTAATTAACTCTGCAGTTTCAGTTTTCTCTTTTTTATCAGTTTCTGCTGATGGTGTGCCATGTGATTGTTTTTACTGAATAAGGTGTGCCACGGCTTAAAATGGTTGGGGAGCACTGTAATAGGGTATATATTTTTTGAGCAATTTCTGAATTTCCTGAATTACCCCAAGACTTCTAGCCTTATTTGCAGGTTTCAGGGAGAGAGACTGCAGGTAACCAGTGACAGTTTCTCTTTGCTTCTGTGGTCCAAAGACAATTGTTTCTGTTTTATCAGAATGAAGTTGTAGGAAATTGCTTTGCATCCACACACCGAATGGCAGAGTGAATACAATGGTTCTCCTGAAATCAGTGAGACGTAGAGCTGAGTATCATCAGCATAATTGTGGTAGGAAACATTTTCATTGTGAATTAACTGGCCAAGTGATAGCATGTAAAGATTAGATAACAGAGGTTCTAGGATTGAGCCCTGTGGTACTCCTCAAGTAAAGGCGATTTTGTCTGAAACATAATATCCAATCTCAACATAACACATTCTGTCTTCTAAATAGGACTTACACCCTCTAGACTAGAGCCATGCCAGAGATCCCCACCCTGTTCTCCAGTCTCTGTAAAAGGATTTCATGATCCACAATCACAATCTGTGATATAGTGTGGTCTAAAACCTGATTGGAACATATCAAATTAATTGTTTAAGAATTAACATCTCATCATTTGTTTTTCCAGAGCCTTACTCACAAAAGGAAGATTCAAGATGGGCCGATAATTATTTAATTCTGTGGCATCGAGGTTATTTTTTTTAAGGACGGGCTTGATGACCGCAGTTTTAAGGCTCTTTGGGAATGTTCCGAAAAGGCTAATCACTACAGATTTTAGTGGGTAGAAAGTCACTAAAGGTAGATGAACTCAATTTGAAAATAATATCATGGATCATGTTTTTTCACTAACAGGTGAAAAGGAGGACAGTTCTAAATGCTTAGGTGGCTGTGGATTCACTGTTTGTGATGTGGACAGAATTGAATTTTTGATACCTCAAGGTATCAAAAATTCAATTCTGTCCACACATTCTGTCCACACCTCTTCTTTGAAACATATTGCCAACTCATTGCATGTACATTTTGTGTTTGATTCTTTATATCTTTTGTAAATATATCAATATATACAACAAACCATCAGCCCGACCGCTTGTCAGTGCTCCGTAAGCCATGTGTTCTGAGGACATGTCACTGTGAATGTTATTGACAGCAGGAAACAAACATGAGTATCTACTCAGATGTTAGATAAATTTAGTCACCATTTGATATGTGTGACTCAAGGCTGTTCTTCGCTTTCTTCAATTCAATTCTAATTGTTTTTGTATTTGCCTAAATCACAGCAGTCGTCTTGGAGGACTGTGCAAAGTTTGTGATCCACCAACAACAGCTCAGCGAATCAAACAGTTCGAACAGAGGAAATACAATATTAACACATAGGAGGCATTGGTCCATATAGGGAGCGGGATGACTGTCCAGAAATGCAAACGAAGACCCTCTCGTCTTTCCTCTTTCCTCTTCCCTGTCTTCCCTCTCCCATCTCCCCCTAATCTCCCATCTTCCTTCTCCCCTCTACTCTCTCCCGTCCTCTCTTTAATGTGTTGCGTGTTAAATCTTGTGAGGCACTTGGTGTTTTGCCAGGACACCAGGGGTGTCCAGGCCTTTTAGCAAGACGGCCACTTTAGTTCATCAGGCTTTATCTGGGGCCAAAAACCTGGATTTAAAAAATTGGATTCGAGCTGGATAAACTGGATTCTGGAATTTAAAATTTGTTATGATTCGTGCTTTTGATTTACACCACACAGCTGCATTTTATTTGGAACGTTGTGACAAAAAAGTCAACAATTGGAATCCAGAGGGTCTGACATTTACAACAAGGTATTGTGTGATTGTATTAGTGGAGCCTCAATGGCAACTTTGTGTTAGTAGCAGACTGGCCAAATAAAATGGCACAGAGGGCCACAATTGGCCCGCAGGCCTGAGTTTGGACATACCTGTTCTATACAAATTAATATTGAATTCTACATCCCTTAAGCAAATAGATTATAGTAAAAAATTAACTGAAATGTAGGATGAATAAGTGCGATGTCCTGCTAGAGCATCTCTCCTCTGTTTTTCTTTGCCATCACCTCATTAGTGCAGTGTCATCAGACAGTTTGGGAGGGATGGCTAAGCTGCACTTTTTAAACGCATGGAGAGACGACAGTGAAGGATGAAAATACAGAGCATCATTAACCACATCACCAAAACAATTGAAAACACAATTTTCAGAATGTGAGACTGTTCTTTTTTACAGTTTCACAACTGCCAGGATACATTTGAGCAACACTTTTTTACAGTTTTTCTCTATTGCTACAACACAAAACCCAGTACTCTAAACCAAATGACCAATTGCCTAAACACATTTATTAAAACTTCCCCCCACTTCTCACAACCATAAACACAATCCTCCTGTAGACACTGTTCACAAAACACATGCCCTTTTTCTCAAAACTCTAAACAAATTTTTCCTTTGCTAAAACACATTTTTCCTTTGCTAAAACACCTTTTGCATGTATCTCTGCTCCTATAATCATTGTGAGGCTCATGTGATGAAAAATGTCTTCCACTGTCAGCCAAACCTGAACACAATGAACAGACCTGGTGTCATTCAGAAAACCACTCAGAACTGAAAACTCCTGTTGCAAATGATGTGACCACAACTTCATAAGTCAGTGCAGGTTCCAAACGAAAATGGATGATCAAGGCAGAAGAAGAGGAGTTCGTGTCAGAGGAGGGAGAGGAGCAGGCCGAGGAGAGAGAGGAGCAGGTCAAAGAGGGAGAGGAGCAGGCCAAGAAGGGAGAGGAGCAGGTCAAGAAGGGAGAGGAGCAGGCCAAGAAAGGGAGAGGAGCAGGTCAAGGAGGGAGAGGAGCAGACCAAAGAGAGGAGCAGGCCATGGAGGGAGAGGAACAGGTCAAAGAGAGGAGCAGACCAAGGAGGGAGAGGAACAGGTCAAAGAGAGGAGCAGACCAAGGAGGGAGAGGAGCAACATGTATTACAGTATGAATGCACGGGAAATGTAGGTACCCCAGCTTTAATTTAGTCAGTTGTAGTTTCAGGGCGACAGGTGGAGACATGGGGGACACTTCCAGAGGCTCACATAATTCAGCTGTGTTTCTCTCACAGCGGTGGATTTATCGCGTCCACAGGTTGCGCAAATATCCGCACTTGTCCTGTCCGCGCCGGTCACATGGGAATCAGTCCCTTGCAGCACCAGAGCATGTGGAATCCAGTTCCACGTACATAAAAAAAACAATTAGTGTCCCACGGTCATGCGCGCTCCCCGTGAGGGGTGGGGGGTCACCCCCACTATTTGGCACTCCCTCCAAATAGTGAGCCCCCCCTGTCATCGCACCACGCCCCCCCACTATTTGAGAAGCACTGCCCTAAACATTGTGTTTTCAATTGTTACTGTACTGTAGTATCTTTTGTGTGTAATGGATCCTTTGGAGTGACTCATGTTTGCATTGAGTTGTGATATAACTGCATTTTCTGCTTTTTGTAACTATTCTCATAAAACGCACACATCTATAGTAAATGGCCAAAATATATTTGAGAATAAAAAAGTGTTGCTCAACTGCATCCTGGCAGTTGTGAAACTGTAAAAAAGAACAGTCTCACATTCTGAAAATTGTGTTTTCAATTGTTTTGGTGATGTGGTTAATAATGCTCATAGTGTTCACATTTTTGCAGACCATGAGAGGCATTTTGGTGTGATGGGTTGGTTTTGAGATTATGAGAAACTGTTTTGGTGTGATGGGTCGGTTTTGAGAATATGAGAAACTGTTTTGGTGTGATGGGTCGGTTTTGAAAAGAGACTGTGTTGTTGTGTGTACGTAGCTTTAGAAAAGAGGTTTGTGTTTAGAGTTTTGGCAGTATTGTGAAATGTGTTTAAGCAATAGAGAAAAACTGTAATTCTCAAATATGTTTTGGGAATTTACTCTAGATTTGTGTGTTTCATGAGAATAGTTACATAAAGCAGAAAATGCAGTTATATCACAACTCAATGGAAACATGATTCAATGACAAGCTCTGACTGCAACCCCCCCCCCCCCCCGACCCAGAAATGGATTAAGGGGAAGAAAATGGATGGATGGATGGATGGATGTTTAGGGCATTGCTTCTCAAATAGTGGGGGGGCATGGTGCGATGACGGGGCGCTATTTGGGGGGAGCGCCAAATAGTGGGGGCGCCTCCCCTCACAATTTGGGGGGAGCGCGCCTGACCACAGGACACTTGTACGTGGAACTGGATTCCACAAGCTCATGTCCACATGCTCATGCCATCATGTGACCAGTGCAACCAAAGCGAGGTCATGTGACCACGTGACCAGCCCTCCTTGATCCGCTCCTCTCCCTCCTTGACCTGCTCCTCTCCCTCCTTGACCCGCTCCTCTCCCTCCTTGACCTGCTCCTCTCCCTCCTTGACCTGCTCCTCTCCCTCCTTGACCTGCTCCTCTCCCTCCTTGGCCTGCTCCTCTCCCTCCTTGACCTGCTCCTCTCCCTCCTTGGCCTGCTCCTCTCCCGCCTTGGCCTGCTCCTCTCCCTCCTTGACCTGCTCCTCTCCCTCCTTGACCTTCTCCGCTCCTCTCCCTCCTTGGCCTGCTCCTCTCCCTCCTTGGCCTGCTCCTCTCCCGCCTTGGCCTGCTCCTCTCCCTCCTTGGCCTGCTCCTCTCCCTCCTTGGCCTGCTCCCCTCCCTGCCTGCTCCTCTCCCTCCTCGGCCTGCTCCCCTCCCTGCCTGCTCCTCTCCCTCCTTGGCCTCTTCTCTCCCTCCTTGATCTGCTCCTCCCCCTCCTTGACCTGCCCCTCTCCCTCCTCTGACACAAACTTCTCTTCTTGTGCCTTGATTATCCATTTTCGTTTGGAACCTGCACTGTTGTGGTCACATCATTTGCAACAGGAGTTTTCAGCTCTGAGTGGTTGTGTTTTCTGAATGACACCAGGTCTGTTCATTGTGTTCAGGTTTTGCTGACAGTGGAAGACATTTTTCATCACATGAGCCTCACAATGATTATAGGAGCAGAGATACATGCAAAAGGTGTTTTAGCAAAGGAAAAATGTGTTTTAGCAAAGGAAAAATTTGTTTTAGCAAAGGAAAAATGTGTTTAGAGTTTTGAGAAAAAGGGCATGTGTTTTGTGAAAAGTGTCTACAGGAGGATTGTGTTTATGGTTGTGAGAAGTGGGGGGAAGTTTTAATAAATGTGTTTAGGCAATTGGTCATTTGGTTTAGAGTACTGGGTTTTGTGTTGTAGCAATAGAGAAAAACTGTAATAACTTGTTTTAATTAGTTGAGACACTTGACACTAATGATGCGTCGAAAAGTCTGGAATGTGAAGAATCCATGCTACAGCTAGTCCAGCCCGCAGAGACCACAACAATCTATGGATCTTTTATAAAAGTTATGTTAAGTCTAAACAGATCATTATAACAGTATGCAGAAGGCTATACTTGTCATGCCCTGCTGCTCGCCCCCTCCCCTCCTGTGCATGGGTGGAGTTCTGGAGCTGCTCACCTGCTCGTGATTGGCAATCATCATCCTACTTCAGCTGTGCTCTGCTGCCAGTCGATGCCAGATTATCCGTCATTGATGGTGATTTTTCCAGTCGGCCTTGTGAGCTTGAATCTGTTTTTTGTGAGCAACTACTTACCTGTTTTTTCCCTGTGTTTCCAGTCCGCCGATCTGCTCCAGTCTCTGCCTGCCTTTTTGTTCCTGTTTTGTTCCAGACCCTGCCAGCCTCCGTTACATTTTATTTTTTGTAATAAATACATTTTTGGAAAGTCTTGCGTCTCCTCTGGGTCCCCTCCATTACGCCATGACAATACTATTCCACTTGATATTTTGGTCGCCTTTCCTGTGGTTCAAAACCATGAGAATACTGTGAAACTCTGGCCGTGTTGCTGACACCTGCCTTCCAACAATAAATCATGACTTTTGCCAAGACACAATCCCAGACCACTGCATCTTTTGTCACTTTTCTCAGTTGAAGGAGGATGTGGTTGTGTCTGAACAGCTAAACGTCTACAGAAAGATCTACAGGTGAGTAAAGTATGTTCACATTAGTCCAGCTCTCAGGTTATTATTCAAAAGATAAAATGTTTTCTGTATGTGTGTGTATATGTATATGTGTGTGTCTGTGTGCGCGCGCATGTGTGTGCCTCTGTGCGTATGTGTGCCTCTGTGCTTGTGTGTGAGAGCACGTGTGTGTTTGTGTGTGTGGATTGTGACAGACCCTAACGCTTTGATCTTTAAGAGGAAGCAGAGAGGATCATGGGATTGCAGAGTTCTCCACTTCAAACAAACCACAGTGGTGTGTGTGTCAGCGACATCTGTCCCCAAGATGGAAAAATACTACATCTCCTCTGAGTTTTAAGGATTTTATAGTGAAATTTGAAAAAAAACAACTTCTGAAGGCAGTTTAGGATGTATTGTTTGGTATTCATTATCAGCCTACCCATATGGCCTTTCGTGTTGACAGCACAAGTCATTTAGAAACATTTTAATAACACTAATAGTGTCAAAATATTTTAACTCTACTAATACAGTCACACAACTCAATTTTAAATTTAAATTTGTAATTTTTTTTATTATCTCTCTCTGACTGTTGCACTGAGCCAAAGCAATTTCCAAGTTTGTGACTTCCTGTTACTTGTGGCAATACGTGGCAATAAAAATTATTCTGATTCTGAAAATGTACTTTTATTCATACTTTCCAGAGCATCAATGATATCTATTCTCACTGTGATGTCCACATGTCACCAGTTTTACCTTTACACCCCAGAGTTTCATTTATGCTGCAAAACCTTTGTTGCACGTATAAAATCTTGGAGTTTACCATACTGTCATCACAGATACTGCAGCTTCTCTAATTCCTAACCCCTATATCAGTGGTCCCCAAACTACGGCCCGGCCACCCTCTACGTTGAGTTGAGTGTTTATTTATTTCGAGTTCATGTACCTCATTTAGTTACTTGTTACAATGTTGACATTTGCTCCGGCCCCCTGAACAATACCAGAGAGTATTTTCATATATGGGCTTGTTCACATTAAAGGGCACAAAAGTGTGACAAAAGGCAAAAAATTTGATTTTAATAATCCAAAGATATTTTATGTTTTTGATGTATCCAAATACCTCCTCTGTCCATTAGAAGTTGCTAGAACAAAACTGTTTTATACATTAGACAAGTTTCCTATAGTGGCCCTGTTTATTTTATGTCACGGACGTGATGATTTGACGGAATGAGCTTTGCGGAAATTTGTTACGTATTTTTAGATGTTCACATTTGATTCAGAGAATCTTTTTTTTTTTTTTTACATAGAGAATGGTCAAATCAGAGGCTGATTTTGTCGATTAAAATGTTGCCAAAAATATATTTGTCAATCTTTCCTTTTGATTTGATCCACACTCTCTCTTTGATCTGTCTGTGTTTGAAATCTTTTTTCCAATCTATGATAGTAATTTTAGTTTTAGAGTTATAACCTTTTAAAGTCCAGATACTTTGATTAACACTTTACTGTGAACACACTCATATGTGTATTTGATAATAAAGTGGACTTTTGCAATAAAAAGTTCCTTAGTTATGAACTTTTTTCATTATTAACTATTAGTAACTATTTCAATGCTGCAATCATCACACTTTTTCTGTTACAAACTGACTCGGCCCCCATCGAAGAAGGAAAAAGTTATGTGGCACTCACACGAAAAGGTTTGGGGACCCCTGCCCTATATATATATATATATATATATATATATATATATAAATATATATATATATATAAATACAGCTGTTAATTACATTACTTTAGAGGAAAATATGGCAAATAAAAATGGAGGTGAAACTTTTTGAAATATGTAAAATATCTTGAGTAGAAAATATATAGTAAAAGATTTATGAAGGGCAAAAAAATGCTTTCTGTCTGTACCTCTGGGCTGCTATCCGAGCAGAGATCAATAGTCTTATAGTTAAAGTTAGCTATCGGATGCAAGGTTATTGTCTAATCATTTTGGTAAATGAGTCCTGACATGGAAGTTAATAGTTAATGCTAACTTGAGTAAAGATCTCGCAGTTAAGCTGAATATTTCCGAAACTGGATTGATCTCTAAGGTTAGAGCTAGAGTACAACATGGTTAGGGTTAGGGTTAGGCACGGCACGGTACCGCACGGCTCGGCCCCGCATGGCACGGCACGGCACAGCACCGCACCTCACCCGACACGGAATCTGGACCTGGACCTGGACCACAGCCATCGCCCCACGAGTCGGTAGACCACGAAGCTGAACTAGTACCAATCGCATTGAGTAGTGGTGTTCAAGAAATAGCCTAGGGCAGGAGACTTGTTGGGGTGTGTTGGCGTTTTGCAGTGGGGATGTGCTTTGCCTCCAGGTTCGGCGGCATCACGGGAGACGCAATCCACCGGGTTGAGGACCGCAAGGCGTAATCCAGATGCCGGCCTCCCTGGTAATGGCGCGTTCACACCGCCAAAGCTGACCCCTCGCGCACCAGACGCACATCCCCTAATTTTCAGACGCAGGGGTCTTCAGACCAGAAGTCCCGGCCTGCGGTGACGCCCGCTACTTCCGGACTTTGATGCTAACAGAGTTAAGCTTGCGGCTTTTTGTGTAAAGTTCTTCTCCAATAATGCAGCGCTGCAGCGTCTCTGTGTCCAGAGACCTCCCAGAGACTTTAAATTACAGCATTATGTGTTCACGGAGGTGCGCCATACGTTTATTTTATTATTAAACGATACTTCCACATTGGCGAACACGCTCAAAGCAGTTTTATACAATCACGGCAGCATGAAAACGCATATGTTCACAAGCAGAGAGTCCCCCAATGTCAACCCTGGTTTATTCCTGGTGTAGCTACGGTTTTGGCTGTTTACGAGTATTTTCAGTCTGCTCGCTCAGATCACTTAAGTCCCTGTGACCACTTTGCGGCTCTCTGATTGGTCGCTGCACGAGTGTCCAGTGGAAAACGCTCAGCAATGTTTAGCTCCTGCGTGCGTAATATTTCCCACTCCTGCGCCTCTGCCGCGCCTTAGCCGCGCAGTCCGTGCGTGCATCTCGAGACGCACATGCAGTTCCACGCTCGAACGCGAGTCACCATTGACTTTGCATTGAGAGTCAACGCAACGCATGATCCGGTCTGAACGAAGCATTAGGGGACTTTCACACCGCCAACGCTGAAACGCTGAAGCCCCGCTCACCAGACGCGCATTCTCTAGTTTTCAGACGCAGGTCTCTTCACACCAGAACTTCCTGACGCGAGCCGGAAGTAGCCGGTCGGCTCTGATGCTAACAGAGCTATGCTAGCGGCTTCTTGTGTACAGATCTTCTCCAATATACAGCTTTGCAGCGTGTCTTTGCTCACAGACATTCCACGGGCTTTATACAACAGTAGTATGTGTTCACGGAGGTGCGCCATACGTTTTTTCATATTATTAAACGGAATTTCCGCATCGACGAACACATAAGGTCACGGGAGCATGACAACGCATATATTCACAAGCACAGAGTCCCCCATTGTCAACCCTGGTTTGAGTTCTGGTGAAGTCTGGTGTGGGTCCTGTTTTGGCTGTTTACGAGTATTTTCAGTCTGCTCGCTCAGTCCGCTAATGTCCCCGTGACCACTTTGCTGGTCTCTGATTGGTTGTCGCACGATCGTCCCAAGGAAAGGATGAGCTGAATCCATCTCCTGTGGGCGTTGATTTTTTGCTCCTGCTCCTCCTTTTTCACTTTCCCGCCAAGTCCGTGCGTCATTATTGAACAGTCCGTTCGTGCGTGCCGAGAGGTCCGTGCGTTGTGACGGTCGAACGCGCGCCACCATAGACTTTGCATTGAAACCCGACGCATGATCCGGTCTGAACGAAGCATTAGTGTGTGAAAGCAGCGGTCCTCGTGTTTTTGTTGGTGCCTGGTTTATGGTTTGCTGTTTGGCTTCCTCCCCGCTGCTGCTGCTCTGCTTTTGCCTGCAGGATTCAGGAACGCTGGAGAACCTGGGCTGACCAGCAACTTGCTGGGACCATTTTAATCCACACTTCTTTTAGTTTGAACCTTTGTTTTTAATATAAATTATCGCGTTTTACATACACCTGTGTATTTTCCTTTCTTGCAACCATGTGCTCTCTCCTAAATTTCGGGTCATAACATTTCAATATTTATGGTTTTAACTTCACATCCCCTTTTTCATCAAACCCCCCCTTTATCACAATCGTTTTAAACAAATTCTTCTTTTGTTTACTCTCTAGCAGATACAACAAATCACCATCAAAACTTTGTCTATGTCTGTTGTACTCAAATCACCCATTTTTGTGTCCTTTCACCAGCTCACATACAATTTACTTACTTCCGAATGCCCTTGTTGACCCAAAGGGAAGTTCTCATCATATGTTTTGGCAGTTTGCATCCAAATATGAAAGACTTCGGCATCATGTGAGGGCCATAAATCCATGAACTATGATGAGGCCAGTGTAATGGTACAGTGGGGGAAACACTGGGTTTGGGTGTTTTTTGTGGTGCGCAGCGGTCAGACAAACTTTGAATAGAGGGAAGAGTGCTGTGTCAGCCGTAGTACTGCCCACTTCATGTTCAAGCATCAATTGCCCGGAATTATTTTTCTAAAGCTGGGGTGCCTGACTTTCAAGCCAAAAAAAACATATTCAGTAGGGCAAAAAGTCAACTGTGAGTGACAGAATGTCACAAAAATATGAATAATCTATTGGTGCAATGATGCAGGAAATGTTCATCAACTCAAGTTCAACTCATACTAATACAGTAATGCCACACTGTAGCTGATATTTTCCCCCATTCCTCCATGCAGATCTTCTAAAGAGCTGTGATGTTTTCGGGCTACCATTTGGTAACAGAAATTCAACTCCCCTATTCTCTCTCTTCTCTCCTATCCCCTCTTTCTACTCTCTCCCCTCTCCTTTGCCTCTCTGCTCTCTTCGATCCTCTGTCCGCTTGCCTATCCTCTCCCTACCCCCTCCTCCTCTCTCTCCTTTCCCCTCTCTCCCCATCTCTCTTGATCTTCACTCTAATCTACTCTCTCCTATACGCACCGCTTCTCTCCTACAAGTATATGTAATTGAGTGCTGTGTGCGAGATTTTGCAGAGGGGTATAGCAACATAAACCACTGTAACCATGACTGGATGGTTGCTATTGGCAGACAATTGGTGGATCTTGTTTCAATGGAAATGACTTGCAAATTCTTTTATGGAGTTTGTTTTTATACAGTTGCCATTGTGATGGTTGCCCGGTAGTCGCGTAGCAATTTCCATAGCAACGGCCTGCTATGGCTGTTCTTATGAGATGGTTGCTATGGCAATTGTCACCATAGGCACCTTTTGGAAGTGTGTTGCCAGCTTGCCATAGTGATGTTGCAAAGTGATTCGCCATGCAATGCATCATAATGGTTTTCTGGTGGGTGACAATAGTTATCAATGCAATTGTTTGCTC